ACCCAAAATCACCCCTTTTTCACCCAAAATCTGCATTTTTCTGACCCAAAATTCACCTTTTCTGAACCAAAATCTGCATTTTCTGACCCAAAATCACCCCTTTTTCACCCAAAATCCACCTTTTCTGACCCAAAATTCACCTTTTCTGAACCAAAATCTGCATTTTCTGACCCAAAATCACCCCTTTTTCACCCAAAATTCACCTCTTCTGACCCAAAATCATCCTGTGCTGTGCCTGGTGCGCCACTGCCGGTGGGTTCTGAACCAAAATCATCCTTTTTTCACCCAAAATCATCCTGTGCTGTGCCTGGTGCGCCACTGCCGGTGGGTTCTGAACCAAAATTCACCTTTCTTCACCCAAAATCTGCATTTTCTGACCCAAAATCATCCCTTTTTCACCCAAAATCATCCTGTTCTGACCCAAAATCATCCCTTTTTCACCCAAAATCTGCATTTTCTGACCCAAAATCCCCTGGGGCTGTGCCTGGTGCGCCACTGCCGGTGGGTTCTGACCCAAAATTCACCTTTTTTCACCCAAAATCTGCATTTTCTGACCCAAAATCTGCATTTTCTGACCCAAAATCCAAATTCTGCGACCCAAAATCATCCCTTTTTCACCCAAAATCTGCATTTTCTGACCCAAAATTCACCTTTTTTCACCCAAAATCTGCAATTTCTGACCCAAAATCCCCCAGGTCTGTGCCTGGTGCGCCACTGCCGGTGGGTTCTGAACCAAAATCTGCATTTTCTGACCCAAAATTGCCATTTTTTAACCAAAATCCCATTTTTTGACCCCCTAAATTCCGTTTTCTTACCTAAAAATTCCATCTTTTTACCAAAATCCCCATTTCTGACCCCTAAAATCTCATTTTCTGACCCAAAAAATTCAATTTTTCCCCAAAATCCTCATTTTTTACTAAAATCTCCGTTTTTTCCCCCGTTTCAGGGACGTTTTCCTGGCCTGGCTCGCCTCCAACCCAAAATCCCCATTTCCTGACCCAAAAAAACCATTTTTTTACCCAAAAATTCCGTTTTTATTCCCCAAAAACGCCATTTTTAACCAAAATCCCATTTTTTGACCCAAAAATTCCATTTCTTTCCCAAAATCCCCATTTCAGAACCCCAAAAATCCCATTTTTCCCCCCAAAAATTCCATTTTTTCCCCAAAAATCACCATTTTTTGACCTAAAAATTCCATTTTTTTTTCCCAAAATCCCCATTTTTTCCCCCAAAAATTCAATTTCCCCCCAAAATCGCCGTTTTTAACCAAAATCTCCGTTTTTTCCCCCGTTTCAGGGACGTTTTCCTGGCCTGGCTCGCCTCCCGCAACGCCGGCGTCGTTTTCGTCAAGTGAGGCTCCGCCCCCTCCTTTTGGGGCATTTTCAGCCGATTTCGACATTTCCCAAAAATCCCCAAAATTGGGGAAATTCCCAATTAAAAAAATTTGGATCAAAAAATCAAAAATTTGGGGTTTTTTTGTTTTTTTTTTTTAATCTTTTTCGTTGGGTTTTGATTTTGGGAGTTTTTACCCCAAAAATTTGGGTGGGAAAAGAATTAAAAATAATTTTAAAAATTTTAAAAAGAATAATTTTAAATAAATTATTTAAATTTAAATAATTAAAAAAAAAAAAAATTGG